CCCAACCCCAAACCCCAAACCCAAACCCAAACCCGAAGGGGATCTTAATTTTTAATGTTTAATCAAAGATTTAGGTTTGGGTGTTTAAAATGTCACTTTTTTTTATTCAGATAAGTTCTAATTAGTAGGAACCTACTTAATCATTTTTATATTTATAATTCAAGTTATTTATTTAGGCTTTAAAAACTCTAAAGTGGTGAGGCTCTTGCTTAAGAATGTTTTTATTGTTATTTTTGCTGTTATTTTAGACAACTTTAAGAAAAAATAGCCTAAGGTCTAATATTCTAGTTTCTTTTTTGCATAATATTGAATATTTAAGGATTTTTTATAAAGAAATATATCTTCCTTAGATTAACCATATATTAAGTACCATTTTTTTTTGCTACATAAACAACAATTTTTATATTGTATATTTAAGATATAGTTTAATATCTTTAGATAAAATTAGTCTTAGTTAAGGATTTAAAGACATCTTTTAGATCTGCTAATTTATTACTTAGTAATTCTTTACAATTAGAAAGGTTACAAGAAGATGATAGTATCTCAAATAAATTTGTTGTAAATTAATTAGCTTAATTTTGATATTTTTTTTAATTAGAAATTTGTTCATTTATTAGTTCAACTTATTAACAAATATCACCTCGTAATTTATTAAAGGATGATTAGAATCGATCATCTAACTAAGCTAAGTTCAAAAGAATTTTAATGAACTACTCAGTATAATAGTTAAAAAATTAAACTACATAATGATTGATATTAGCAAGTGATGAAATATTGGTATCAGGAACAGATTTTGGCTGATGATGAACTTCTGTCAAAGCTTTAATAGATTACAATGAATCAAAATAATTAATAGTCACAAATAAAAGTTATTTTAATAAGTTATTAAATAGACTTCTTAATATTAGGATAAATCATTTAATTAATAAGACAATCATTTATTACTTATATGAATAGTCTACTTTTTTTTTGCAAACAATAATTAATTATAATGGCATTGAATATAATTTTAAATCATATTCACTTATGTTATTATGAATATCAGTATAATTTGCTAGAAATTACTTTCATAATCTATCCAAAGAAATATCTCATATAATATAAATTAGAAATAAAATATATAAACCATCATTCTCATAAAACGATATTAATTTTACAATTTAAATAATAACTATGAAATTCATGCTAATCAAATTTCAATTAAGAATTAATTAGATTCAATGAATCAAAAATAAAATACTCAAAAACATGATATGATTTTGGTTCACTTAGAAAATCAATATTTAAAAGCATCATTTATTTAATTAAAAAAAAGTTGTAATTAAATCAATATGGATAATGAGCTTATTCTAAAATTAAATTAATAAAATTTTTTTATTTTAAATCATGGCAAACACTTGATAGTATTTTACTTATAAGTTGTGACTATTATTAAAGTGTAAATGGTTGCCATAGTTGGGCTGAGATATGGTTTGACATCATCAAAAAATTCCTTTATGACATTATTAAATTAGTTGTTAGATTTATAAACAACTCTTTAAAATTATTCCATATTTTTCATATTGTATAATATTTTAAGTTATCAAGGTCAAATATCATAAATTAAATTCTCACTAAATATTATCAGAATCTTGCTTTTTGATAATAATTTTTCCCAAATACTTTGACAATTTTTAATTTCAAAATTTTTATATCTGATATTACTTTTAGAATATGATATAGGAAAGATATATTTAAATGTTATTGAGGAAGGATTTCCAGGATCCATAGTTAATTTGAGTGTAACAGGCAAAGAGAAATTTGAATGGACATAAACAACTAAAACTACTGATAATGATGTTAAGTAGATAGAAACAACTACTACATAAACATATACTGGATTGTGTTAAATATATTAACATAAAGTGGTAATACACAATTTTAAGAATCTTCTATAACCTTTAGGTTAATTTGCATTTCCTTCTTAATTTTAACTTTTATCACATCTTCCTGTTTCATATTATGAAAAAAATTTAGCATAGATATCATGCAAGGTTAAAGCTCTAGTTCAATCTAAAAAATCTTCCTTCAATTTTATCAAGCATAGTCAAAAACTCATAATTATGGAGCAATTAAGAGAATCTAGAGTTGCTAAGGGTCAGGCTATATATATAACTTCCTAGAAGTGCTGTTTCCGAAAAAAGGAATAATGAAAAAATTTTAAATTTAGGCTTGTTAAGTTAATGTTTTATTGATAAATTTAATTTTTTTCAGGAGATGGAGTAAATTTAACTATTGACATGGATAATTCTAGCTTAGATTAACCAGTGCATTCTTTATCAATATGATTATAACATAAAATTAGTTGATAATGAAGGTAGCTAAACTAGTTTTAATTATTTAACTAAAGCAAGCTAATTAATTGAAGGAGTAGCAGCAAGCGGCAAGAAATAATTAAGCTTGAAGTTTTTTTTGAAAAACAATGATCATTATACTGAATTATTACCATCAGTGAACTGTATATTAATTAGTCAGAATATGAATTAGTTATTTCAGCCAATGTGGAGTGTATTATTAATATTTAATTTTTAGCCGATTGCTGTTGCAAATAATATTCATCTATTGATTTTCCTATTTAAATCTTGTACCAGCATTTTAAAGCAAAGATCAAATTTTATATGAACCTCCTAATTTGAATCCTCAAGTGTTTTAGAACTAAAAAGTTTGCCTAACAGACAGAAATAAGTATGAAAGAAAATATACGTTAACATATAATAAGAAGTTTAAAATTTTGTAAAATATACTAATACAAAAAGAATCCAAATCATATAGGCAATTAGATTTAACAAAAGCAATCGCCTATGTAAGACTGATTATTTTTTTTTAATTATATGAAAAAGCTTAAACAATTTCCAATTCTTAAAATTATTTCTATATTACTCTTTTGATTATTTTTTGTTTTTTTAATATATAAAAATTTCTATATAAGATGTCAATTTAATAATTTTTAGATTTAAAAAATGATTTATGTTTTTTGGAATTTAATTAGCTCTCTCAAATAATTAATTAAAATTTATTTAAAAATTTAATTTACTCTATCATCAATTTAAAAAGTTTTGGAATTATTGATACAATCTGAATTTTTTTAAACTCAGATCTTAGTATTTTGGGATATACATTTTACATTTAATAACAAATGAGATTTTAGATCGTTTGGTGTTCAATTAATATATTTAATAATGGGATCCTATTTGCAAAAGTATTAATATAAGTATTATTGCCACTTCAATTTTGTATATTTTAGGTGCAAATACAATTTCGTTTTAAGAATAACATACATTACAGAAGCTATAAATTTAGAATTTATGTCTGTATCAACTACTCATATTCTTTTTACTTCTGCATTATTTAACTATCTGTTTTCCTAATCACTTATTGTAATATATCATTTCTTGTTTAATTATAAGCTAATTTCCTCCACTTACTAAATATCTGGCTTGAAAATCGCTATCTGGAATATATATAAATAGTTTACTCATAATAATTTGTAGCATAAACCTTCATAGGTCTTGTATATTTTTTTTAATTTCACTTGCTATTTAAATAATTTATAAACTCTTGATTACAGATTCTCCATATAAAGTTTTCTAGCTATGAATAAATTATTGTAAGTTTATGTTATATGTCTCCCTTAGTTTTCTGCAATATATATCTTATTTTAATATCATTACTTTTAACGAGATTTTCCAGAATCAACAACTCTTCCTGAGTCTAATTGTGTCCATCATCAAACATGTTCAAATTTCCTGAATAAATTTCCTCAGTATATATCTTGCATTACTCTAAGTATGCTAAAGCATTTTTTCAGACCATTCGTCCATAAACTTTTTTCATCTTAGCATACTCATTTTATAAATTTCGTTTTTGAGTTGTGTCCATTAACGATTAATTTATTAACTAGTAATTTTATATTATTTCAAAAAAAAATAAATCTAATTTTTTTATTGAATTTACTTAAAAATTCACTTTTATTAAAATAGTTGCAACTCTCTAAGAATAATATTTTGCAATATATCTTAAGATTCTTTTCACTCATAAGCAAACCCTTAAAATAAAATGAAATTTGATACCTTAACTAGGAGCAAAAGTTATTATTCTTTTAAATTGATTCCTTTTTTGTTTCAATCAATTTATCAATACTTGGTGCATCATTTTTACATTCATCTAGTCTTTATTTTGATATTAGTTTTATACCATTAAATAAAATTTTAATTTTTTTCTTTTCTTATTTAATATAGACTATAACTTTATTTATTCAATGCTCTTAATTATTGATTCACAATTAATATTTTTCTTTTTAATTTCTTCATCTATTTTTGATAAGCTGGTTTACAGATAGTTTACCAATCAATTGATTAATGAAATATTTATAATTTGATAAAGATAGATATTGAAAAATACAAAAAATATAAGAAAATATATCATTTATTATGGTTTTTATATAAATATTATTAAGACTAATTTAATAATGGAAAATCAAATAATTATTATTCAATTATTAATTAAAATGATCACTACCCACATTCGAATTTGAATTCACAGTTTTTTATTTCAGTCCCATCTTTATTAGTTGCAGTAGCATATATACAAGTAGTGCCAAATAATAAGGTAACTTTTACAGTTTTATCTTCAACAGATTATAATGGTTTTCCAATATCGATACACAATTCTCCTAACTATTAAACACCTTATTCATCAACAAATTCTACTTCTCTTTTCTCAGTTACATAAAAGATGATTCTCATAATTGTCTACCTAGATCTGACTGGACAATATATTTTTGTATGAACTTCATCACAACTAATGATAAATATAAAAACTATACCCAACAGCATCTCCTTTCCTAACAAAAGCATCAAACACATCCTCACTAAATTCTTCTCCTTCTATAATTACTTTTTTTTTAATCGGATGTCTTTCAGCATCAAAAGTTGTTAAAGTATTAATTCCATAAGTTTTCTTTGCTATTCTACTTGTAATTGATCTTGGACTCAATCCAAATAAACAAGCCCCTCTTATAACAGAAACTTAAGGTCTTCTTGGTACCAAAATTTATATTGTATTATTTTCGAATCTCTTAATTATTTCTTACTTCAAGAATGGAGATTCACTAAAACCTCCAACCATAAATATAAAGTTTACTTTTTCTTTTTTCTATTCAACTTGAACTAATAATTAAGCAACTTTATTTTTTATATTTTCAAATAGTGTCTAAAAGAATGAAGCCATTAAAGCTGATGGAATTTCAACATTTGATAATCCTTTTAATTTAACTTAATATTCAGGAGGATGTTTTTGATTATGATCCTTAACTAATTATGACAATTTATTTGTGTTTAATTCTTCTCCCAAATAAGAGAATTTTATCATGCATTTTTCATCTTTATTACCTTTGAATTTCCTTTTCAATATTTCAAAATCTCTTAAAATATCTAAACGAGCAATAGCATTTTGTTAATATGATCTAAATAATTTATCACCCAAAAATTCCTTCAAAAATTCTTCAAAATAGAGATCAACATATTTGGACCCCCACTCACATCCACCAGATGATGGTATTAATTCATTACATAAAAATTTTTCTTTTGGCTCGCATAATAATTTATGAACTGTAATATCAACAGTACCGCCTCCACAATCCAACACCATTACAACAGAGTTTTTTTCCATTTATTCCTTTAATGTTTATTCAGCATCCTCTCTACATTGAATTGATGCACCTTCTGGTTCTAAACAAAGTAATAAATTTGGTGAATTTAAGTGATCAACTATACCTGCTTCAACAGCTGCCTTTCTCATAAATTATTTATGTTCTTCACTCCACAAAGCTGGAACTGTTAATACCCATCTAATTTTTGTAGGTATTACTTTTCCTACCTATTCTTTTAATTTTTATATTGCTTTATTGCATATATATTTTAATGTTTCCTTTATTATTAACATTAATGATAGTTCACGATTATCTAATGATCTAGCTTGATTATGCATATGATACAAATGCATTTTATACTAAGAATTTTATAATTATTTTTTTACATTTTAAAACAAATGGGCTGTTTCACCATCATCAAGCATGCTTGCATATTTTTATAGTGCTTAAGATCCAAATTCAATAAATTAACCATTATTATCAAATAGAATTGCAGTTGGTGTTTTTTGATCATCTGTATCATCACATGGATTGAAAACCTCAATTCTTGGTTTGCCTTCTTTATCTAAAATTCTTGGAGCTAATCCAAATCTAAAATAATTACTCTCATATTATACCCTGATGCTCCAGTTCCAAAATCTATTGCAATTACATGAGTAAATGCAGTATCGTCTTTTAATAAAGCCATTTTTATTAACTGTAAATTGTGATTTAAATTTAAAATATAAAAATAAATGTTGTAACAGCATGATTTAAATATGAAGAATAATTGTGCCAAAGAAAATTACTAAAAACCTTCAGATTATTTGGATGGAACATAAGAAGAATTGAAAGGGAAAATAAAACTATTGATGAATAAGTTACAATTAACTAAGAAAGAAAAAGAGAATCTAACTAAAGAAAATTAGAATTTATAGCATGAAATACTATAAATGCAATCTCATCTCAGATGCATGGTATCTGGCTTTTCAAACACTAGTATCTAATTTCCAATGGCAAATGAATTAAGTAATTCTATTGCAGAATTTTATAAATGTGAATGTTTTGATATATTTTTCGATGTGTTGACTTAAGAATTAAATCTCAAAGGTATTATTTATTTTTTTTCTGCTTCTATGATTCGAATAGACAAAATCATTCAAGAATACTTTTCACCATTGTTCAAAAATATTATGGAGGTAATATTATAAAAATTAATTTAGGTGGGATGTCTCACAAATATTGATGGACCAATATTAAATGTAATGAGGAAATCATTTTAAGGAAATTATAAATCAATTTATGAAAAATGTATGCGAAATTAATCATCTATCAGAATAGAATTATAAAAATACCTAAAATTAAATAACAATGATTTGATTGAAGCTTTTTTCAATAAATTATCAGAAATTATGTTTAATTGTTACATCACTGATCCTATATTAACATTTGATATATAATCTATTGGGTAGAAAATAACATTTAATTAATCAAAACATGACCCTATTGATGGATTTATTAAGAATAAAGAAGAATGCATAATCTTAATGCCAGCAGTGTATAAAAATTAAGAATTAATGGCTAAATCTTTGGTGATATCCTATTCGTATTAATTAGAAAGCAATTGAAAATTAAAAATAATTAAAATTATTATTCATTAATTATTGATTTAATCTTATATTATAATTTAATCTTGTTCTTATTACTAATTCAATTGTTATTCCAATTCTTCCTTGTCTTCCTGTTATATTTAAAATTATGACAATTCCTGATCTTCGTTCTCTATCTCCTCTACTTTCGATAAAGTATGATGATCTTCAATAATTGGTTATTCAATTTACTTTTTTAAATTCTTCAAGTTATTATCAAAATTTTCTACTAAATCAACAATCTATTTGTAATTTTGATTAAAATACTATTCGCAATCATTATTTTATTTATGAATCAATTGCAATTTAAATATTTTGTTTTAATTCATTCTATTTCATTTAAATACTTGTCTTTCATTTTCTGTATTTTTTTCAAAAATGTAAAATGGTTTATTTTTATTGTTAAAGACATCACAATTTAATGTAAAAATGTATTTTTTATAAAATAGCGTTGACACTTTATTTTTTATATTAAAATAGGATAGGAAAACTTTAAATTTCCTTAACAGATCAGATGCTATATCATCAAAATTTTATGTAAAATAACATATTATTTTATTCGATAGTTCTGATATATACAATTATTTATCAAAAGAATCCAAACTCATTACTGAAACTAACAACTAACTATTATTATTATAAAATAAATATCAATTAAGAAGATTCTATTTAAATATTGTTGGATATTAAACATATTATTTTGATGCCAGTGAGATATAAGATATTCAAGTAGTGTTATTCATAAAATAAATTCATTTGAATTATGGAATACAGGGTAAATCTATTTTTCAAAAATATAAAAGTTTAGTTTTAGATATAAAAGTTTTAAAAAGATAACAAATTATGGCATTCTACAATTTAGTAATTTGAGATCTTTAATTTTTGAGTTCAATATAAAAAAGTTCATGAAAAGAGAATAAAATCTATTAATCTGATTCTGATCAAATTGATAAGCTATTACAGCCACACATATAATAATTTTAGCTTTTATTTATATTAAGCTTACTTAATTACTATAAGCAATAAAGATAGAGATATAAAAGCTGCTATAAAAGTAAGATACAAATTAATATATCTGTTATTTGAAGATCGATAATACATTCGAAATTTTGAAATTGTAAACTTAGAATAAATTTACATCACCAATTAATTAAAGTGCATCAAGAAGAGAATTAAAATTGTAAGAATTTTAAACAAGGTTAAATTTGAATTAAATAAAGGGATAAAAATTTTTATTTCAAGAAACCGAACCAATATAGATTTGTTTAAAATAAAATTTATAAAAAAATAAGAAAAAAATGGAAAAATAAAAAACAGGAAATCTTTTAATTTTTTAAATTAATTGATATTTTTTTTTCAATTCTAATTTACTCAAATTTTTAAACTTTAAATTGAGTTGAATATCGATAATTTGATAGAAGATCTTAGAGGAATGCTGATTAAACAATATCTCTTTCTGAAAATTTTAAACTTAAAATACATTAATCTATAACAATCAATTTCTATAGCAAAATATTTTCATAATCATAAGTATTGTACTCTATTAAAAATTGAACTTCATATAGAATTTATATATATGCTATTATGATGGCTTAAACATGTATATTATGAAATTCAAATTTACTAATTAAAATTATGCAAAGGTTGAAATAAAATTTTAGGTTTTTTTAGAATGATAGAGAATTTCAATGACAATGTATTGGATAGCTTTAGGATGATTTTGCATATAGGGCCTAAAAAATCTTTAATGGATATATATTTAAATATATTGAAAAATACACTGATCCTAATAATAAATTAGAAGGAACTGTTACTATTAGAAAATTTGTAAATAAGATAATATATATATTATGGAATACTTAATAATATAAATCAATAATATTCGATAGAAGGAAGATAGTAACTGAATATTAAAATTTTTATACTTGGGTATATTTAATCTTATCTTTGTTTTAATTGTGATCATTGATATTTCATAACAGTAAATCTAATAAATAAATGTAATTAAATCTATTTTGAATATAAAAAAATCTTCAATTATTGAAAAAAAATTAAAAAAAACAATGAATCAATTTAATCTATTGAAAAATAAGTTATATGTGTAAGATTTTTTTTATAAATTATTGTATTTAAGAAAGAGATATAATCAAGTTTATTCTAATTTTTAAAGATTAATAATATTAAAATTTTATTGATACATGTGTAAATATTTCTGTATATTGAATAATTTAAGTATAAAAAAGTTTTTCTATTTTTTGTAGGTTCGATTCTCATATGTCTTTCCATAATGGATTAATTTAAAAATGTTTAAGATTTTCAAATTAATAAGGGTTGGCCAAACGAATTAAAAATATTAACTCTATAAATTGTATTTCTTTTCATTTTTTCCTATTATAAATAAAAATGTTAAAGGAAGTTTTTGTTAAATTTGCTTTTAGATTGATTAGCAATTCCATTACAGTTGAATAAGAGTATGAAGTAAGTCAGTAATTGATTAATTTTTTTGGCTTGTTAGGAGCATTACTTCCATTCTCATATGCAGTGGTTCCTAATTATAAAATATTTTTTGGAGATGAGTCATTTATTTTTCTAGCAAAATTAGTAAGACCATATTTGTTTTTTAATCAATAAGAAGTAACTCAGGGATTATTATCATACCTTTTTTATTTTGGAATTTTAATATCCTTCGTTAACATAGGTCTATAAGGAGCTAATACTTAATATTTGATTAAATTGAATCATAAATTTTCATTTATCAGCAAGACAGCATTTTTGATGAATTAAATATTTGATGTTTATCTCTTTAATATTATTGTCGAAGTAATATTATTACAAGAAAAAGCTTACTCTTATATTATAACGAGCATATACTGTTGTATTTTATTTTATAGAATTGCATTGACAAAAGTTAGTATAATATTTAAATATTATACTTTTAATCATTAGAATTAGTCATTTTATTATTATTGCATCCAAATTTTAAATATCACACAAATATTATTATATGTTTAAAGTTCTGAAAGCAAGTTTTTACAATTGTTATAGGTTGCCATATCGATTATCATTTGTTCATTAAATATAGCCAATATCCTAACTTACCTTCCACAAACAAACTTAAGTTTGTTAAAATTATAATTGCCCACTTACTTGAATTCTGGATTTTTTTGTTTTGGAGTACTAATAAATTAATTTTAAGATGTAGAAAATCATAGTCCTTAAATGCTATTTATTCTATTATGGCCTTTTTGGATTAAAATTTCGCAATATTAATTTGAGAATTTGCTTATAGTATCATAAGATTTGGAAAATTATCAAAATAAAATTATTCATATATTCTATTAAAATTAATTTGATGAGGTAAATATAAAAACAGTTTTCTATAAAAGAAATTAAAGCTAGAAGGTTTTCAAATTAAATGAATTATTTAAAAAAAAAGGTAAAAATAAAACCAATTTTAATATTTTAGAAAAAATAAAGATTAAAGTAATTATTATAAAGATTTTTAGGATTAACAATAGCATTTTTCTCTGCTTCTTCTTTTTGAAGATTATTTTGGTGCTTATGAATATATTACTAAAGAAATTACATCAACATCAATTATTTAGTAAATAAAATTTGATATTTGCTCTTTAAAATGTAAGTTGGAGTTAAAATAATAAATGATCATGTATAGCCAAACACTACATAACAAAGTTTTTAATCTAGATGTTGAAAATTTTATTAAAGTTGAATAAAAAAGTTAAGAATTAAATGATCAATTAATAAGAGATTGCTAGTTAAAGATAAAATATTTGTCACTTATGAATAAAAATGAAATTTAGAGATCAAAACTTGAAAAACAAGCAAATCTTTGTATTTAAAAATTTGAAAAAATTATATTTGAAATTGAATTGTTATATAAACAGTTTCCATTAAAAAGATATTAAAGATATTTGATATTTGCATATGCAGAACTTTGCAATGATTTCTTGTAAGCCATAAGAGTAATGAATTTAACTTCATTTAATGATGAAGCAATTTATACAAAAATCTTATCTCTAACTTTAGATTTTTATTCTATCAAAACAATTTATTTAATAACTAATTTAGAAAATAGGAAAATCCTTAAAGTTTCATCTAACTATAAAAATGTAATGAAATCTCATATCACTAAATTAGAAGAAATTATTCCAAAAGGTGTAAAAGAATATCATGAAGAAATGATAAATAATTTCTTAAAAACTGGAGAATCTAACTTTTTTTAAGAGACTACATCAACATTTTATCAAAACGAAGATTTTATCACACCAATTACTATTATAAATGATGTTTTTATCTAAAATAATCATATCAATTCAATTACAATAGCAACTGTTCCTAATGAAGATTCAATTACATTGATTGTAGATGCAAATCTTAATATATCTGGGATAACTAGAGGATTTTTAGATTCACTTGAAATTAGTCATGATTTTTGCAAATATCTTACTGGGATAAATATAGGATTAGTAATACCAGAATTCATAGAACTTTCTCAAAATGATTAGGTTTAATACTTAGAACTTCGATTCTTAAGTGGGTTTCAACTTCAAAAATATTTAGATTTAATTTAAAGAAATTTGAATAGTAAACAATAATAAATATTAATAAATGATCTTTGGCATGATAAATCAAAATTAGATACATATATATCACATTGTAATATAATTAAATCAAAATATGGATTTTATAAAGTAAATTTCAATTACATAAAAAATAAAATTAAAGTTCCAATGCGTAATTTAACTTTAAAAACCTATGCTTAGATATCAGTACATGATAAGGATGATATGGATGAATAAGTTAATATTATCTCTCCATATGAATAGTAAGATTATTTAATGGAGAAATAAGAGGCAGAGGCTTTTGGTATTAATAAATCTGAAGTTCTATTATCAGGTAGAGATCATCAAACATTAGCATTAATAGATGTTGATAAAGATGTTGAATTTCATAATATTAGAAATAATTAATAAACAATGATAAGACCAACTACGTTTTAAAATATCTTTTAAAGTTAATAAGATATAGCTGATGAAGAGGAATAGTAAAGTTATTCAATAGAAGAAAATAATAAAAAATAATATTATTCTGTTAAAAATATATCAAAATATGGTATTTTTGAAAAAATAAGATAAAATAATAAAATAAGTAAATCAAGTAGATTATTAGTAATAGTATTAATATTTAATCAAGTATTATTCTTAAATTAAATTCTAATATCCATAATAAGTAGTCTTAATGTTTTAGATTAAAATAATGTAGACATAGATTTATTATAAATAAAATATTATTTATTTTAACCAGTTGA